CCAGATATTCGTATATTTTTTTCATCATAGTTAATGAAACATGGGATTTCAATGGAGAACATTGGGGAAATAGTGGTAAAGACTGATATTAAGTATCCCATAAGATTTAATAGATTTTAAGGTCCCTTTGTCTAAGTTCAAAATTGATCCTGAGAAGGAAGCAGATGGATTTGAAAGATCTAAGTTTTCTTCAGGGAGAGAAGAATGTTGAAACCTGGGTTCAGACAACACGATAAAATTCTTCATAGCATTTGTAACTGGACCTCAAAATATGTTTTACTCTAGGGGACAGAGAAATAATAGAGGTGTGAGGCAGTTGCTCTGCATTCAGGCACCACAGTAGGAGAACAATGCTTTGTCCTTTCTTCCTTGTCACAAGGTGCTTAGGTTTATAGGGTCACACCTATCCCAGTGCTCCCAGTCATTCCCATTCTTTTGTTTATCTGTAACCACTTCTCTATGCTCTCTTCCACAAACAGATAATCAGCTTTTTCCCCTAATAGGATTCTGTTAATTTGTAAGGTCAGATCTTTCTAGGACACTACACTTGTATTGTAAGTTAATATTACCTTTCTTCTCTCCTTATGTCTTTTGAATAGTTTACTTTAAAGCAATGTCCTTTTGTATGACACAAGAAGACAATTGATACAATGCTTTTGTAACTTGGGATTTAACTGGCTTTAAATATTATTTATTCCCGGGCATCTGCTTTCTCAACTTAAGCCTCAGTTGCCCTCACTTCATAATGTCCCCAAAAGCAGGGTCCCGACAAGGGAATGGATGGAACCAAGGCAAGCGTAAGCTATGTGCTACCCTGGCATCAAGATAGGCCTGACCAAAGCGCCACAATTCTTAACTATAAGTTAAGAGCTTGATCATGACAAATGCTGTCATGATCCAAAAGTAATGAGGAGACTAGGACCCTGCTAGGGATAGGAAAGACAAATCTGGTCTGAGGACTTTAGTCTGAGATTGAGATGACCCTAGGAGAGCAATTCTATAAGCTTAATGCATCACTTACTGTGTCCATACAAAATGATTAATATTATGAATGCTTATATGTTAGATGAGGAGAGGAGAAATACACCCATGGGATTCTGCCCTTGGGTGGGTCATCTTACTGAAAGAGAATCTGTCCTAGAGGCAACATTCCCTGAAGGAAAGAACTTTACTACTATTGATTGTGACCACACCTATGTGTAAACCCAGCCCCTCATCCTTTGGGGATTTAACTAGACTGTAAGACTGGGCTGGGGGAAAGATCAAGTGCGAGATCTAGAGTCAAAGACAGATGGAGAAAAGGGTTCCAGATCGGGGCCAGGAGAGAAGGAGAGAGAGACAGGAGTGAACGGGCATGAGAATGGAATAAACAGCATCTGCCCTTAGCCCCATGGCCCTGGCCTTCCCGGCTGGGGGATGACCCCAGACCTCCCAGAATCTGGGCAGCCAGGGGAAGAGCCGTCAGGGCCACCCCCTGGCCGCCCTCAGAATTTTTTACACACCACCAGGAGTGACCTGCAAATGTAGAACTGGGAGGAGCCACTGAGCACCATGAGGTGTGGTTCAAATCAGTCCCCTGAGGGTTTGGGGTGGGTATGGGGGTGGGATAAATTTAGAAAAACAATCAAAATGCAGATTTTTCAACATTGTTTTCATATTGACATGATGCAAGAGTTCTTTCTCTAAACACTTCTATTCTAAAGTATGTTTGCTGTAAAAGTCTAGATATTTAAATATATTCAGAAATGATTTTTCCTCTATCTCTTGAAACACATTTGGAGCTTCACATATATACTTTTGACAAAAGACTATTGTTGTGAACTGAATTAGAGGAGAATGACCTTTAGTCACAGCCTTCTGGGCCAGAAGCCCAGGCTGATCCCAGAATGTGTCCTGGAGAAATAGCTCCTGGTTGGAGACAGAAGCATACCCTGGGGTATCATCACACTTTTATGTATCTCCTTCTGTCCTGTTGTTTTTCAACTCTCTGATGTAGGGAGTTTCCTTTTGATTTCCCCTTGATCATATCATTTATAATCCATGACTCCCCCCACCTCCCAACAAAAAAAGAAACAAACCAAAAACCCCATAAGGCCAATGAAGAGTCTATTTTGTTTGTTTCTTTTTTTTTTCTTTGTATCATCTGGTGACCATCAGGACTGGTTCCACTGATATTTACTTGTATAAATAAGCATAAAGTTAATATATTTCTGTGTTTGGTTTGAAATCTAATTATGCACAAACTCTCAAAGATTTAGGCTTGTAACAAAACCCTTAATGCCTAAAAATCTTTCAAGTGTAGTTTGATATTCGGAGAGCCCGGCAAGCTACCGAGAGTACTCGATATGCCAGACACAGTAACAACAAAGTCTCCAATGGAGACATTACTGGGCCCGCTAGAGAGAACAATAATGTATGTAGGGCTTTGAACTTGTTTATAATAAATATGTAGTCTTGGGGTATAGGTAGCTTGGAGAAACCTGGGACACTGGTGGCAGGAAGTAGACATCAGAGGTGGGCCTGGATGCTAGAACATAATATCCCTAAAATTAAACTACAAGTAACTCTATAAATCATGTCTATTTTTATAATTAAAAATAAATAAGTACACTATCTCTGTTCACTATCTTCATCTCCCTTAGTCTTGCCAACCTCACAAAAATTCAGGGACACTTCCTTGGAATAGTTTTCACAATCCTTTCTAGTATAAAACTTTTTGAGAACATCTTTAATGCTGATTGTATGAAGCCTTTATAAATGCTTTCAAGTGTACTCTACATATTAAGAAAAAAATATTTTTACTTATCAAATTTCTTCCCAAATTTACCTATGACATTAACATCCTGCACAGATAATGTGTCTATGTATGGATATATGTAACAATAGTCATATATAGTTCTATAATCTATAATCTAATTTCATAAACAATGTCCACTGCCCATTATTTTGTTTTGTCTGTTTATAAATTTTGTATCAGTTTATTACACACATAGGCAAAATTAATATGATACTTGGCTTTTCCTTATTATTTTATTTCACAGAATTCTCACAAATGAAGCTTTCACATTGCTGAAGAAAGGAAAATGACATTTTAAAAAAATATCTGAATAATATTTAATTGTTTAAATGCACTACAAATTTTTATTCCAATCGTCTAAGAATGCAAACATTGGTTACTTCCATATCTTCTCTGCTATATATATATAATATGCAATGAATATTGGTCTATGTTTATACCTACTGTGCTAACGTTATATTCTTTAGATGCCCCCAAATCCAGTTATCATATCAAATATTGCTTCCCTTTTGTTTTCAAAGGAATTGTTGTGACGTTTTCCAAATGATTGTACCCATTTACATATTTACGAAGAATGTAACTCCTTATTTTTCTCAACATGCTCTTTAAAACTTGGCTTTGGAAGACCATATGGGGTACAAGGAATCAAACCCAGGTCAGCCATGTACGAGGCATATGCCTTAACTGCTATATAATCTCTCACTCCTCTAAATAAAGTCTTCTTAATCATCCTTTTCATGAAGTTTCCTCTGAACACTTATTATTTGAATATCATTATCTTTCTTCCCCTGGCCTACCTCTGGCCCCTTGTGTCCCTTTATTATCCAAAACAACTTAATTTTCTCCCACTTAAATTAGATTCTCCAGTTATACCCATTTCAAAAATAATTAAAATGGTAGTTTTAGGGACTGGAAGAAGATTTAGTGACTCAAGGGTATTATCTGGCAAGCACATGATCATGAGTTCAAGTTCTGATGCCCCTAGATATACAGAGATGATCAGAAAAGCTCCACTAGTTGTGATCTCTAGGGTGGGGGATGGGGATGGAAATTATTTTTATTTTTGCTTGAATATGTCAAGTAGAGAGAATAAAATTGATAAGAGTTTTATACTGTTCATATTTTGACTTCCTGATATTATTAGATTTTTACTGTTATATATAAATATTTAAATACACAGAAAATGACATGTAATATGTTATATAAAATATCTCTTTTCTGTTAGTATGTTATCTGTTTTTCCCAAATTTGTTTATAATGTATTTATGATGTTGGAACAGGTCAATTTAATTTAGTATCCATAAAAGGAGAATAAGAGCATATAATCTATAAGAGATACCTGAATATTTAACGTGATTGTTGAGGCTATGGTTTTATTTTCTTAGTCTAATTATATTTCTATTATTTAATATTATTAAAAGATTGATGCAATATAATGGAATATAATAAAGCTAATTTGCTTATTAAATATTTATTCCTGTCATATCGTAGAAATAGTATACAGAAATATTACAATGGAGATAGCTGATTTAAATTTATTACCAGTTTTCAAAAGATTATCAGATAACTCTAAGGATTTAACACTGATTTGAAAGTAAGCAAGAACATATCTCCATATACATAAAATATTCAATAATCTTTATTATCTTGAAATGTATTTTAATAAAACTGCAACAATATGCTATATTCAGGTTGTGAGTGAATGGTTAGAAATAACTCAAATTCAGCTAAATTTTCCTTATGAGAGAGATTTTTATCTGTAACCCAAGAGGCTTTTATCTGCAATAAAATTTAACATTAAAAATGACTTGTTATATGATAATGAGCACATTTTTTGATGCTTCTAACTCAGCTCTTCATCTTTCATATTGAGAGTTTGGACTCTGTTCTTTCTGGTTCCTAAAACATTTTATGTGAAAAGAAAAAAATCTTGAAAAGTGTGGTTTAAATCGCATTAGAGTTAGATATAGGGCTTTGGAACTATCATGATTTGGTTATTAGTTATGCATAATTATATTTAAAGATGATACTTTCACAGTCAATATTAGGATACTCTTCAAGCTACATCGTTGTATGACTCAGTCATGCTAATTTTCCCTTTGAGTAAATGTCTATGAACTATATACATAATTGAATGAATAAGAAATATGCATTTTCTAAGCATTTGTCATTCAGGATTGGGGAGATGAAGAAATTATTATATATACTTACCTGACAGGGGACATACGATGATCACAAAGGTGGTTTTCCCAGGGTGAGATTTATCCATTTTACGGGTTGTGCTGATCCCTGAAATTTTCCCAAACATGGGAAACTCTACTGCATTAATTTGTGGTAGTGGGGGACTGTGTTCACATTCTCCTTGGTAGAAAGAAAGATGGGAGGGAAGGAAGGAAGAAAGGAAGGAGGGATGGGGAGGGAGGGAGGGAGGGACGGAGGGAGGGAAGAAGGAAGGAAGGAAGGAAGGAAGGAAGGAAGGAAGGAAGGAAGGAAGGAGGGAGGGAGGGAGGGAGGGAGGGAGGGAGAGAGGGAGGGAGGGAGGGAGGGAAGGAGGGAAGGAGGGAAGGAAGAGAGGAAGGAAGGAGGGAAGGAGGGAAGGAGGGAAGGAGGGAAGGGGGGAAGAAGGAAGAAAGGAAGGAAGGAAGGAAAGAAGGAAGGAAGGAAGGAAGGAGGGAGGGAGGGAGGGAGGGAGGGAGGGAGGGAGGGAGGGAGGGAGGGAAGGAGGGAAGGAGGGAAGGAGGGAAGGAAGGGAGGAAGGAAGGAAGGAAGGAAGGAGGGAAGGAGGGAAGGAGGGAAGGAAGGGAGGAAGGAAGGAAGGGAGGAAGGAAGGAAGGGATGGAGGAAAGAAGGAAGAGAGGAAGGAAGGAAGTGAGGGAAGAAGAAAGGAAGAGAGGAAGGAAGGAAAAGAGGAATAAAGGAAGTGAGGGAGGGAGGGAGGGAGAAAGGAAGGGAGGAAGGAAGGAAAGAAGGAAGGAAGAGAGAAAAGTAGGGAGAAAGGAAGGAAGCAAGGAAGGAAGGAAGAGAGGAAGGAAGGAAGGGAGGAAGGGAGGAAGAAAGGAAGGAAGAGAGGAAGGGGGGAAGGGAGGAAGGAAGGAAGGAAGGAAAGGAGGAAGGAAGGAAGGAAGGAAGGAAGGAAGGAAGGAAGGAAGAAAGGGAGGAAGGAAGGTAGGGAGGAAGGGTGGAAGAAAGGAAGGAAGAGAGGAAGGAAGGGAGGAAGGGAGGAAGAAAGGAAGAGCGAGAGGAAGGAAGAAAGAAGGAAGAAGAGAAGGGAGGAAGGACGAGAGGAAGGAAGGAAGGAAGGGAGGAAGGAAGGAAGGAAGGAAGGAAGGAAGGAAGGAAGGAAGGAAGGAAGGGAGGGAGGGAGGAAGAGAGGAAAGAAGGGAGAAAGGAAAGAAGGGAGGAAGGAAGAGAGAAAAGAAGGAGGGAGGGAGGGAGGGAGACAGAAAGAAATTATATTATTTCTATAAATCTTTAGCATCTTACCAACTTTTAAACTTTAACTTCCTAAGTATTTAAAAGGTTTTATATCTCTAATGCTTTTACTTTATTAATGTAGATTTATGCATCTGAATAATATTCGGAGAGAACACATGTTTGAATATAATAAATAATTATTTTATTTGAAGTTATAATTTTTTTAAACTCAATATCAAAAATAAAGATTCACCATAAAAATATGAAGGAATTTAAAAATTTGACAAATAAGGAATACTAGAAGCTGTTTTAACTATTTTATTTAAAATATGAATAAATACAGAATTTCAAGTATTGTTCTGTCAATTATATAATACCACTTTCTTGTGCCACTATTTATAAAAGATTATCTCATGTCTGAAAGAAATCAACTAGATAAATGATAAGGAACATAAGATTCAGACAAACAAAAATTATTTTCACAAAATCTGAGAATTAACACCATATGAATTAAGAATTATCTTATCTCATGAAAATTGTTGTGATATCAATAGAACCATTTGATACTCTGGTGCTCAAATGCACAGGTAACAATTATTGTTCTAGTCTAGTGGTTTTCAGACTTCTTAAACATTCAATCTAGAACTGGTTCACAGTCCAGTGGTTGAAATTCACCACACAGAACATACCTAGAAGTTGAATAATGGCTATTTACAACCTAAAGTAAATTCCCATCTAAAAGATCTGCTCTATGTGTGTGTCAGGAAGAGAGGTATGAGTGGTGAGGGGCAAGAAGGAGAGGAGAGTTGCTGCCGCATTTAAATGTTAAATGCAACAGGTGCTAAGGGCATGTGGTGTCAAGAGTCACACGGAGACCAAGGTCTACTGCTTTTGCCATCTCCTCAGCCTTCAGTCATAAAGTTTTAAAGGTGACCAACTAATTCATCAATAACACTTTCTTTAAATAGAAAAGTTAAAATATCTTCCCAATTTTAATTTTTTAAGATATCTTCCCCTGTTCTTGATAAGGGATTCTGCTTACCCCAGTGAAAAGCAAAGATTGAATAGAAAATGACTAAACCTGTATCTGTGCAAATACACATGGAAGGTAAAACAGAGAATCCCAAAAATAAATATAAACCAAGCAAAATATTATACATATAAATATTTCTCAACTATCAAAGAAATTAAATAGCTTGAAATCATCTGTTTAAAATCTCTCAGATAATAGTTATAAATAGTGGAAATCACTGTAGACTAGAGGATGCGTACAGTAGATTGTTGTTTGAAACATAATCCCTAGAAACCAGATGTGAGGTGAAGTTCTGTGCAGTGATTTATTAAGACATTTCCAGACAAGGATGCCCAAGGGAAGTCCACTGAAAAAGAACAACAGATATAGACACAGAAACAAAAGAATACTGCAGAGGGTGGAAAGAGTCAGAAAATCAGTAAAATAAATCCTTGATATCTGAACAAAGCTTCAGTAAATACACTAAAACTGTCTTTGTGTTCATTTCAATAAAATCAGATTCTGAGCCAAGAATTCAAATATAAGTATCCTATTTGGATGACAATCCCAAGAAAGAATAGCAGGAGAAAGAGGAGTAAATCAGAAAAGAAAGCTAGTAAACAGTGGTTTATCATGTTTTTCTATGTGGAAAACAGAGCCTAATACTGCAAGGTATCAGATATTTTCTTTATGTCACTTTTCATATCTAAAGAAATAAAACATAGGGGCTGGAGCAATAGCACAGCCGGTAGGGCGTTTGCCTTGCACACAGCTGACCCAGGGTCGATTTCCAGGATTCCATATAGTGCCCTGAGCAACGCCAGGGGTAATTCCTGAGTGCAGAGCTAGGAGTAACCCCTGTGCATTGCCAGGTATTACCCAAAAAGGGAAAAAAATGAGTAAATAAAACACAACGCCAATTATAAACTCCCAAGGAAATAACAGAATAAATGCATTTTGGGTCACACCCGGCGATGCTCAGGAGTTTGGCTTTGCACTCAGGAATCACTCCTGGCAGTGTTCTGGGGACCATATGGGATGCTGGGAATCAAACCCAGGTCGACCACGTGCAAGGCAAATGGCCTACCTTCTGTGCTATTGCTCCAGCCCCAATAACAGAATAAATGAACAATATAAAGAATGTGCGATTCTATGACTCCACATATTTAATGTAAAATAAAAAAAAACTAGGTAAAAATCCTTGTAAGATATTAAGAGTTCAGTAGTGGTCAAATTTCATGGGGAAGGTCATGACTGTGTAAAGACTAGGAACCTCAATTTTGAGTCAGTAAATGAATTTGTTCACTTTGTGATCAATTGATGACAATTGCAATGCCCTGAGACAGTTTCATTGGAAATGAAGTATATATTTCAGATCCCTGATAGAAACTTTAGTTTGCCATTTTTCTACAATAGCAGCCGCAGAACTACCTGAGAGACTTTTCAGTTTGTTTTCCTGAAGATTATGTTGTGAAAATTGCAAACCCAACTATAAAACTGAACTAACTGTTCTCTAAAGGGTTTTAAAAAAAAAAAATTATTGGGATTCCATGACTTATCACAATTAATGATATCTTCATCCATAAATCATTGCCACACCATAGCACCATCAATGTGCCAGCTACCTTCCACCAATGTTCCAAGAATCTCTCTCATCCATCTCACCCCTCCAGAGACTAATACTTCAGTTCTGATGTCTGTGGCCCTTACAATATTGTTTAAATCCCACATACGAGGGACATAAGTCTGTATCTCTCTCTCTCTGCCTCTCTCTCTCTCTCTCTCTCTCTCTCTTTCTCTCTCTCTCTTTCTCTCTATGATTGACATCTCTAAGCAAGATACTCTCTAAGTATATCTACACTGAGGCAAGTTACAAAATGTCGTATCTTACAGTTTAGTAGCATTCAATTCGCACATATATACATATATATCACAATTTATTATCCACTCATCTATTCTTAGACACTTAAGGTGCTACCAGATTTGGCTTTGGTATGCATCATTTTGAAATATAATATTTATTTAATCTTATATTTACTCTGTCTATTCTCTGGGTTTCCATGTTTTCTAAGCCCCACCCCTTTTAATATATATGAACTATCTTCTTAATTTGATGGGGCCTTCTGAAAGCTCATATAGAAATACAACTTCTCTTGCCTGCATATGGTAAAATTTTTTTTTCTCACATTTTGCTAAATATTTTTCGACTTGTAAATTTTATTAGAAATTATATTACACTATCTGACTTATTTTAATTAATAAATTTATTGAGCTAAATGCATGGATTTTAAGTAAAAGAGTCAAAGCATTTTGATAAGTGTAAACTCAACTTGGGCTGGAGCGATAGCACAGCGGTAGGGCATTTGCCTTACAAGCGGCCAACATGGCCGACCTGAGTTCGATTCCTCCGCCCCTCTCGGAGAGCCCGGCAAGCTATAGAGAGTATCTCGCCCGTATGGCAGAGCCTGGCAAGCTACCCGTGACGTATTTGATATGCCAAAAACAGTAATAACAAGTCTCACAATGGCGACATTACTGGTGCCAACTCAAGGAAATCGATGAACAGCGGGGCTACTGTGCTACAGTCCTATTTTGGTTATGTTTTTGACTCATTATTTTTCAAACTAAATTGTTCTTATCCATCTTTAAGTTTCAATTTATTTATATCTAACTTCTTAATATAGTCTCACATATTCATGAAACTGTAAATTCTTTTCAATTTTATTCCTTTTACTTTTTTTATTTTCATTTTTTTTTTGCAGTACCAGGGATTTAACCCAGAGGTACAACAGATCTACCACTAGACTGCATTCTAATTTTATTATTATTCTTTAAAATAAGGTTGAATCATTACTGTTGCTCTATCTTTCAAGTTTGATTTAAATTTGTGCATATTTATGTGTGTATTAACAGAGATCAATTTCTGGTAACCTTGTGA